CTGGGCAAGCTTGGGACAAGGCCTCTGCATGGCTAGAAGCATGTCACACTAGGTCCCTACCCTTGGCCTGTCAGCCCTCCCACCCAGAGTGGGCTGTGCACCAGTGACAATTTTAAAGTTAACCTGGGTGGCTGGGAGCTCTGGGCCTTTTTGAATCACCAGGCCCTGTGGCAATTCCACATACCCTACTGCCCCCTATTGGTGGTCCTGAGTAAAATCTATTAGTTTGTAACAGTTCAACTGCACAGTTCAGATCCCATCACCACTTTTACTTCTCATCCTCCTGCTTATATTGGAGTTCAAAATAGTTCCCCCTCCTATGGTATTTACATATGCTCATATTTTATATAGTGTTCCCCTAGTGAGTTTTGATGAATTATACATTTAGCTATTCTTCATCACCACATCATTTGTTCAACTATATTTTGTCAATATACTTCTTGTAATGAGGTACTTATGAGCAGGTAGGCTGTAGTTACACCATGGGGACTATACACAAAGCAATTCATTTATACTCCCCAAAGTTGTGCAGCTTTCGAGCAAGCAAGGTGATTTAAGTCAGCAATCAGGAAACTTGGATTTAAAAAGCCAATCTGAGAGTACAAATGGAAGACAGTTTTAGGAAATTAAATGTTTACTTTCATTGGTTGGTAACCATTAACATTGATTCACCACTGAAGCCAGGTCTGTACTGGCAGAGAAAAAAAGTGCAAGATACACAACTCCAGCTACATGAATTACTTTGCTGGAGGAGTCATACCTAGTGTCAATTTTCTGGGGCAGTCCCACAGCAGAAGGTTGCTGGGAAAGACTGTCAATTTCCCTTACTCCTTGCAACTGCAACAAGTTCTAGACTTAACAGGGTACCCTCCGTGTTAGTGGGTCTGGTCAGAACTTGCAAAATATATCAAATGTTGGAAGTGCAATTTCTGGAGCACCAATCCTCCATTTAGTGTAGACGTGGCTCTAGTATACCCTGTGCTAAACTTTGTATTTATACACACCCCCCCCCAAACAACTGTATAACTTACAATTATTTAGATTTAAATTTGTTAGAAAAGGTACATCACTTGTGTTCTAGATAATTTACTAGTAAACTAAAGCTGTATTTAACTCACCTTAGTGATGATTGTGCTTAATTTTAGATAAAGCTCCCTGAAGTATGCTGATATGTAAGTTTATTAAAAACAATGGAAATGCATGTTTAAGTATCTATTGCTAGCACACTTTGAACTGATTTATGATCACCATCTCCCTCAACCTTTTCCAACTAGTGAGTCCCAGTCTGTATTCTTAGAGGAAAAAGGAAAAACAAGCTTTCCTGCTTTTCAATTCTTCGTAACAGTCATTTAACTGATCTACATGAATAAATGCAATGTACGCTGCATCTTCAAAAGCTCCTGAAGTAAAAAAAAACTGGTTTAGCACTTGAACCAACTGGTTCCAGATGCCTCTCAGAGGCAGTGAGGGTGGGATAGGGGAAGTGCATGCATCTGTGAGGGTTACCTATCCATGGATACATGTTCACATCCCTAAATTCCATAGTTCTGTTCTACTTAATAGGATACATTTTTTCAAATGCACAAGGACCTTTAGTGAAGTTGAAAAGCAGTGAATGGCTAAAACAAAATGAAGTTAGCCTGGGAATTCATGGTCTTAACATGGAAATAAAGAGCTTAAGATGCTTGGACAGCTATTAATTTCTTAGAGAAACTGTGGATATAACAGTTCTGGTAAACTTTTACCCACATAAATAAAAAGATTCAGGATCTAAGCCACTTAGTGGGAAGAGGTCTAGCTTCCACTGAAGTTATGAAATGGATATCTTAACGAGACCTGTGTTGAGATAACATGTCACCTTCAGTAGAAGACTAGAAGTTCTGCTTAAGCTACGTAACTCAGCTTTATAATATACTGCCTAGTATACAGTGTTCTAGTCTGATAGAAGAACTGTCAAACTTGTGGTGTACCAGAACTACCAAAGTTTCCTTAGTCATCTTTTTCACTTACTAAGATTGCCATAAAGTTAAAATCTGACAGCTGTAATAAGTTTAAAAATCAATCTAGACAATAGTCCAACACCAGAAGCCATCACAACTGACAATTTCATCTGAAAGACCAGAGATTGAATAGGCATGGAGACCTCACCAACCTATAATGCAATTCACTATGAAAACAGTTGAGAACACCAACCCTGAAACGCTTGTCTTTGTAGTCCCTCTCACGATCTCTGTCCCTTGCATCTCTAGTATCACGCATATCCTTTTCACCACCCCGATGGTCTTTATCAAAGTTGCGAGCAGAAATTATTCTTCCACTGCCAATCCTCCGTCCACCAATACGAACACCATCATTTTCCTTCTCCAAAGGGCTCCCTGCTCGACGTGAGCCAACAGCAGCAGTCACGTGGCAACCTCCTCCAAAACTCCGCCGCTGGGGACTTAGGACTACATCCAAATCATCTTCTTTCACCCGCTCCCTAGGATCTGTAGATTGAAAGAGTAAGCTTCTCTAGAACATCTGTCCTACTGATAAACAGATTAACATGAAAGTTTGACAAGTAGCCACTAGAATTATAGGGGCCACTTGTAGGACACTAGAAAGTAGCTAAAATTTTAATTTCAAGTCCTTGAAAATGGATGTTTCCTCATATCTACATAAATACAAAGTGTTTATAGACATGTATCACTAGAGAAACTATTTACTTAAAGCCATAATCCTTTCCAAGTAGTTTCTTGCTTGAATTCTCACCTCAAAGCACTGTCACAGTGTGATGTGTGAAGTGAAGCATTATGGATTTACTATCTTTATGGAACTATATACCAAAAGATTACCCATACAAGACTAGAACATGGTGGATTAAACTTGACACTAAGGGCATGTCTACACTTTAGGGCAAAAGTCAAATTAAGGTATGGAACTTCAACTATGTCAGTTGCATAGCTGAAGTGCCTTAACTCAGCTTTTGGCACGGTCTACACAGCAGGAAGTTGCAAGAAGAATATTCCTCCTTTGGCTTCCCTTACTCAATGTAAAATGAATGTTACAGGAATCAGAGTAAGTCGTCCTCCAGCTCATCTTTATTTTGAAATAATGGCTTGCTGTGAAGCCATGCATTTTGCAATAATCTGTTATTCTGAAATAGTGTTGCTGTGTAGATGTATCCCATGGAATTAGACTTTATTGCCCTAACCAATCATTTTTCCCCTTCCCACAAGACAGGTTCACTGGGGCCTTAACTTCATTTATAAGGGAAACCAACAGTGTAGTTACACTAGCAATAGTACTAAGATAGTTACGTAGCTGGCTTTTCTGGGGGAAGGGCTCAAAACTAGATCTGAATCTTTTTTGGAAGGGGGTTACACTCCAATAAGACTAGTAATGGCTAGTCTACACTAGCACCCCCCACTATTGCCAAAGCAAACGCGATTTTGCTCAAGGAATAATTTTTCCCCACTATCCTAGCAGCATCTTATAGATCATTCCATATGCAAGAGTGGTGCACTCACCAACTACTCTGCGCATGAGAGAAGTGCGTTCTGAATCCAATTCTTTTTTGAAGCCTTCCACTGGTGAAGTCCGCCCTGAACTTGGATATAGAGATGCATGCCATTTCTCAGGATCCCAAACGCCATCACTATGCAAATAAAGTTGAAATCTTTTTAAAAATTTTGCAATGCAAGAAAAAACTACCATCCATTGTAATACTTAAGCTAGAATAATTGCACTCTGACTAGTAATCTATGCTACTGAGTTTGATTTAAATCTGCATCCATTTTTCTACCTGAAATCAGCCCATTTACATGGTGTTAGAAATCTTTGAGGTTAGGAAGTTGTGGAGGTTAGGAATTTGTGGAACAATTCTGTCAATCAGTATGAAGATAGCATAGATATCTGCTCAATATGCAAAGTAATATGAAAGACTGAGTTGATACTCGACAGTTCCATCAATTAGCATTAAAAGAGCCAGTTCCCCACAAGCACAGATCCATCTGATGATAGAGAGGCAGCAGTGCAGAAGGAAGAGAGGCATGAGCCAATACATGCAGGGAGCCAGTTTTCAAACCAACTCCCTGCATGGATAGGCTCCTGTAGACCCACCTGCCCCATCCATGCTGCCTCTTACAGAGGCAGTGGGGGAGGGGGGAGAAGGGGAGGCAGGAGGCTCAGCACCAGCTCCCTCCCATATTTCTGCCAGGGAAGGGAGGGGGGGGGCGTGAGGCTGCTCCATGGCAGCAGCCTCTGTCCATGGGCAGCTTGGACTCCCTCCACAGAGCAAGGCAGCTGCTGCCCCACACTGCTGCCATGACACAGAGTCAGCAGCACAGGGTAGCAGGGAGCTCCCTAGGTGCATGGCCAGGAGAACACTGGCTGTGAGCTCCGACCCAGGGGACTATCAAATAGTCATGTATCTAAGATTTCATGTAGTTACATGACAACTTACACAATATCAAACATCCCTAAATCTTACTAGTATACCAATCCCTCTTTAGCAAGTTATTCATGGGTACAAAGCAGGAGTGTATGTGCCTTCATCTCACAAGTGAATGAAATGAGAAATCAAAGTTTCTACAACAATTGCATTGCTATATTTTACCAGAAAGTGTTATTTGTTGCAGTAGGAACCATTATTTCAAATCTCAACCCAAGTATATTAGGACACCTGTATTAAACTTGGGTTTCTTCCTCACATGTGTACCTTTAGACAGTTTCATTCTTAAAGTAATCTTTGCCATTACCGACGGACCAGCGAGAACAGCAATGTTAGATTTAAGAACGGTTTCCCTGTTTAAAGTCTAGTTTGGAGCTTGCGTCTGTGCTATGTATAGTTATCCTGAGGCATTTCTCTCATTCTACAATTCATATGCCACCCAAACACAGGAGTAGTAGAGATACCAGATATAAAGCTAAAGATATTTTGTTTAGATTACTCTATGCTATTCAATGCCTATTTTTTGGAAGGCATTAGCTTAAAACAAGCTTTGGTCAGGGACTTAATGGAACTGAGAATGTAGCCTCAAGGGCTTTAATAATTTTGCTTGTAGAACTTAGATCTATTAGCCGGTTAAGACAGTAAAGCTGGTTTTAAGACGAAGAAATACCTGTCATATTTTTCAGAAAGACATGAAGGCCTCTGTTTAGAGTAGGGACGCTCTTTAATATCCAAGAGTTCTTCCTGGAAAGGAAAAGTAGCAAGTAAGTTCTGACTCACCTGGGTAGAACATAAACAAAGCAAAGTTTGTTCCAGAACATATATAAGTATCATGGATAAAGTTAACTGATTTTTGTTCATGTATTGAAGTCGCTGTAGCTGAACTATACTTTGAAGAATTCTATCAACATGTATTTTTTTATTTCAGCCACAGTGGAAAAGTCTATTATTTACTAATTTTCCAAAAATTCCCTTTAGCAGAAAATGAAATATTTTATAATCAAGGGCACAAATCTGAATTTATTTTGTGGATAAAGTAAAGTGAGTAATATGTACTGGCCATACAGGTCACTGAAGTGGAAGAAAATTTGCTTGGTAGTGATTACTAACCCATTCATGAGTGGAGATGCTCCCCCCCGCCATTGTCTTGTTCAACCCAATATTTGGGCTAGCACACGAATACTAGGTCTACCGAATGGCCAGAATAGTCATAGAATTTCACTATTTGCAGTAGGATTCTGGTACTCTACAGAAAATCAAATACTGTATATATTTGAACAGATTACTGGTCAAGGACTTATAGCAGAAGACTGGCCTCTCTCTCTCTAGTTCTGAGGCTAGGTCTACACTTAGAAGAGAGGAGGAGAGAATCTATACCCTAATTTACACAGCTATGCTGGCAAGCCCATCAACATGGATGAAGGTAACTGGCAGAAACACTGTCAACTGACAGACAGTTGTTTGGAGAGGTGGTGTTTATACACTAGTAGATACTGTTTGTGTAAGCAGCACTGAAAATCCAGAATATTAATGTTAACAGAAGTGGACTACCATCTAGAGGAGGAGAGAATCTATACCCTAATTTACACAGCTATGCTGGCAAGCCCATCAACATGGATGAAGGTAACTGGCAGAAACACTGTCAACTGACAGACAGTTGTTTGGAGAGGTGGTGTTTATACACTAGTAGATACTGTTTGTGTAAGCAGCACTGAAAATCCAGAATATTAATGTTAACAGAAGTGGACTACCATCTTCTCTAATACAGAAGAAATGAATTCGTAAGTGCATGAACCAATAAGAGTATGTCTCTGAAGCTTAAGTTTGACTGTCAATACTTGGAAAGTTTCTTCCAATTTTAAATTGGTTATTATCTTTGGTAGGACCTTAGCCTTCCCATGCTTCACAGTTGAACTTGTTCATAAGTTCTGAAACTGCACAGGCACAGCCATGTTGGATACAGCTGTAGACATTAGAATTAAACATTCCAAAAAGACTATCCTATCCTTCCTCCTAAACTTTTCATGTTTGGCTACTTTGGAACTTGACCAGACTAGAATTTAAGACATGTTAGTACATGTGTTACTTATGTTTGCTGACCCATTTAAAAGTCTAGTGGAAGCCAAACATAGGTGTCACCTACATCATAGAAACACATTGATACTATATAGTGAGGTGGGGGTCCATTTAACACAGAAGTCCCTTTCTATACTAGACCTTTAAAAAGATGCCATCAATCACACCTTCAAATCTACTCTAGACTGACCTTATGAGGAAAGTAGGATACGTTTTCTTCTAAAATTTGATACTGTTTCAATCCATCTCTAAGTCTGCTTAATAAAAACACTTAAAGAAAAAAGTTAGCTTACTTTTGTGTAACGATGAGATTTTACTGTTATTCTGTCCAAGTCAAGAAAAGAGTCTCCATTTTCAACTTCTCCTATAGCCCCTCTCTTATCCATGTCTATTTGAAAGCCTTTGATTATTGACCTAATTAAAAATACAGAATTATGTTAATAAAATAGGCAGTATAATTGAAGGTTTTACGGTACACCTTCCTTACAGGTTTTGGAACACTGTCACCAACTTACAGCTAACAATCACATTCCATAACAGCTTTTGACTGATGTTTTGGTTGTTCTGTATATCTAAACCATAACTGGCAGTAAGAGAGTCTAGTTTCTAGAACAAGTGCTTTCAATTTAGCTTAGGTGCCTGAATTCCTCTGTGGTTCAAAACAGAGCTCTTAAATTGCTTCAGAGCCACAAAGATCATCATAGGGATAGAATTAGCGTACAGAAGGAAAAGCTCATGAAAGAGAAGGACTGGATAGGAAGCCCCCTTCCCTCAGGCCGGGCAGTCCTAGGCCCCTACGCAAACTGTCTGTGAGAGTCACTTGCACCCCATTTTGCACCGTACAGGACCACAGATAAACATGCATACCATGGAACGGTCCAGGTCCCCAAACCATGGGTCGCAGAGCAGATCCCTCTGCTTCCAGCACTGTTAAAATAAATAAATAATAATAATAATAAGCAACAATTTTCTTAACCCCCCCCACCCCTCCCCCCCCCCCCCC